AGAGTGGTATCAAGTAAGAAATGAGATGACATAAGAATCTTTGTTTAAAATCTTAAGTCATGCCTATCTCTGTTTTCCACTGCTGATGCCTAAAACCTGTTGATCAGATTTCACACCAAAAGAGAATAGGACTGGGTTGATTGTTGGTGTTGCAGTTTCTGTCGGGGTTGTCACCTTCACACTAATATTGATATTTGTAGTCTTTTGCATGAGAAGGAGAAAAGATGATGATGGAGGTAAGAGTCCTAAAAAGTGCAATAGTAGTAGTTAATTAGTTATTATATTATTTTTTTGGTACTAAACCCCCCGGTATCCAGAAGTTTCATTGAGCCCCAATTCATTTAGAGTTGAGTCGGATCCTATAAGGGGGAAGCTCTCCCAGTACTTGTTTCTCCATTCACAAGATTCAAACTTGAGACTTTGCTTAATTGGAACCGTGCTCCTTTTGTTCTGGCCAACAGGTCATTGGTTAGTCATCATATTATTTGTAAAACTGATTCATGTTAATATACCATGTTGGATTTGGCCTCATTGCTGCTGAGTGAAGTTCTAGGCTTTCCAAACCAAGTTCTATGTTAAGCTCTTAATGATCTTTAGGTAATTATTTTCTTCATTATTACAAGGGTGGACAAATGTGTTTTTAAAGGAAGAGATATTCTAATAGTTAAGAGGATTGGTCACCCTTGATGGAGAGAGAAAATGATTTTTTTTTCTACTTCTTTGACAATTTGGCTGCTCTATCTTGTGGTGATGCATTCACATGGGACCAGTGTTCCTAGTGCTCTAAAGAACAAATTTTAGATATAGGAAGTAAACTTGACTATTATGAGTTGTTGATTTCTTGTTTTGTTCTCCCGTCTATAATATATCTTGAGGCTTCTGGTATAGATTCTGCTCTTATTTTTATTTGCTCATCAATTTTATGATTAATATATGAAAAGGACAAAAAATAAAAAATGAATAATAAATGGAAGAAGAAGAAAGAAATAGAAATTATACATTTGCCCATGGCCTTTAAACTAGACATGCTGAATCCTAGTGCCAGTGTTTGTAAAATTTAAACATTATAAAATAATCTTCTATTTCATCAGTAGATTTTATTCCAACTTCTCTTGAATTTGCAGAGCTTCTTGCAATAGGACCCAGACCAAACACCTTCAGTTATGCTGAGTTGAGGGCTGCAACAGATGACTTCAGCCCCTCAAATAAGTTAGGAGAAGGGGGATTTGGTCCGGTATACAAGGTAAGCTATTGGCTTAAAATCTTAAATCTGTTTTTAATGAGATAGAAGATTCATATGACAATGTTACCAAAAAAAGCACTTTATATACATTACAGGGTAAATTTTCTGATGGGCGGGTAGTAGCTGTGAAGCAGCTTTCAGTAGCATCTCACCAAGGGACAAGTCAATTTGTTACTGAGATTGCTACCATATCTGTGGTGCAACATCGCAACCTTGTTAGACTGTACGGATGCTGCATTGAAGGAAGCAAACGCCTCCTTGTTTATGAGTATCTTGAGAACAAAAGCCTTGACCAAGCACTCTTTGGTATGACTGAACAAGTTTTTTGCTCCCTTTTAGCCCTTATGCAGGAAAATGAAACATATCTGCATCTGAATTCATTTCTTCACCAAATTAATTACTATCCATAACATTTCCTGCCTCTTTGACATATGCAGGAAGAAAAGACTTGCATCTTGATTGGCCAACCCGCTTCAGTATCTGCTTGGCAACTGCTAGGGGACTAGCTTATCTTCATGAGGAATCAAGGCCAAGGATCATACACAGAGACGTGAAGGCAAGTAACATTTTGCTTGATGCTGAGTTGTGTCCGAAAATATCTGACTTTGGATTGGCAAAGCTATATGATGATAAGAAAACTCACATCAGCACCCGTGTTGCAGGAACCATGTAAGCTCCTTGAATCACCGTATCAAAATTGTATCTATATCTAAATGCTTATTTGCATTATATTGTAGCTCATGTATGTTATTACATTTCATAGCATCAAACCATCATCGGAATCCAGGGACTTAGTATCATAGATAGAGAAATCATCTCAATAAACCTTGAACATGCAAATTTAATTGCTTAATTGCAATATTGGCAGTGGCTATTTGGCACCGGAGTACGCAATGCGTGGCCATCTCACTGAGAAGGCAGATGTCTTTGGCTTTGGTGTAGTTGCTTTGGAAATTGTCAGTGGAAGACCAAACTCTGAGAACAGCCAGGACAACAACAAGATCTATCTTCTTGAATGGGTAAAGAAAGAAACTCTTTTCTTTTTCTCCTTCTATATAGACAGTTAGACACATTCCTTCTGCGTGAGATTTACTTATACAATGTTTCTAGGCATGGACTCTGTATGAAAGCAACCAAAGTCTAGGTCTGTTGGATCCAACCCTAGTAGAGTTTGATGAAAATGAAGCTTTAAGAACGATAACAGTGGGACTCCTGTGCACACAAGCATCACCAATGATGCGACCACCCATGTCGAGGGTTGTAACTATGCTTGCTGGGGATATCGAAGCGAGGCCTGTTGCATCAAAACCAAGTTATTTAACTGGCTGGGATTTTAAGGACATAACATCCAGCATCGAGGCTGAAAACACACCGTCTACTGGATCTGAGCATAGTGATAACAAGAACAAGAATAATCTTAATCCAGGTATAGAGCTGGAGGCTTCTCCATTGAATATCACTAAATTCAGTGACATTATTGGGGAAGGAAGGTGACGAATGTTGTCCCTTAAAACCTCCATTCTGCTACTTCTCCTGCCTCTACCTTTGCCACATATTTCTAGCTCTATAAAGTAGATGCTGAAATTGTGTGAATTTCTGTAATTCATACCATTTATATGTTGATCATTTGTGTGTGTACAAATATTGGCTTGCAATAAGGCTGCAGTGTTTGTAACTTATGGATGTCATTCCTATTATGTAGTAATATACTTCAAAGCTAGAGGGTTGTTTTCAATTCAATGTAGTATAATTATTTCTTACACACCACCTCTAGCACGTGTCACACCGCCTACTCCAGCCATGATATCAGCTCCTATGTTTGCATCCAGCTTCAATTCAATCTCAACACTAGCAACAGCACCAAATGACTCCAATCGGCGGAGCCAAAGTGGTAGCACTTCCGAATCTTTCAGCAGTGCCTTCTTCCCAAAGAAAGAGTTCGACGCTGCAAGAAGAATGACAACTGCAGCAGCAAACTCAGAAATTCGTTTAGCGTTCTTTGCAGCATGAATGAGTTTCGTGTTGAGTTCCCTCGTAGAGCCAACAACCTACCTCCAAAAAGAGAGCGGCACTGAGCAATGTGCCTCTGATGCCACTTCTTGCCACTTCTATCCTCATAATACCATCCTTGGAAATCCTCTGTTATGATATTGTGAACTTATATTTCAGACTGCCTCTTCTTTTATGAAAACTTGATCAATGTTCACTGTCATGGTTCATTAATAGAAATTTTAGACGGTGTTTCCATTAGAAAAATCAAAGCAAGAGAAACATTGTCGCATATATAGATACATTTAGCTATTGAAATTAATGAAAATTCATCAATTTCTAGCGATCTTACTGGTGCTGAAAGAACCTGTGGTTTTGAAGCTTTTATTTTTGGTTGAATAGAGTTTTGAAGCTTTGGCCTTTGCAATCGGAATTTGGTAGATTTGAAGACCTCTATGTAAATAACACCCAATGGGGTCGTGATTCTAATGTTTAACTTTCTACTAGGAAATGCAGTAGCATCTATGCTTTTGAGCACAGAAGACCCAATGGTGTGTTTGCTATATTTTTTTTCAAAATTTTATTTTCTGTCTCAATGTGAGGTAATCTTTTTTTTTCTTTACTCATTATATTCTTATGTTTATTAAATTCAAACTTCTTATCTATTGAAAATTAAAATTATCACTAAATTACATTACAAAAAAAAATATTAAAATGTGTCTTTAAGAATTGAATTCATTAGCAAGTAATTAACAATAAGTATTGTTTTATATATTAAGTTTAAGTATCCAAGTAAAGTAACTTTCTTAAAAAGTAAAAAAATGTGGGGACACAAGATTTTTTTTGGGAGGAATTAGTTTTTAATTATATAAAAATTAACAGCAAGCCATCTTTATTGTAAATATTAACAAAATAAAAAAAAAATATTAAAGTTAACATTTTTGAAATAGTTAGGATTCATATACTTATTATTTTTATACATATCAATTACTCTTTTTTATTGAATTTAGTTATCTTACATTTTAAATAAAA